ATTTCACAGAAATTTCTTTAATGAGATATTAAGTGGGTCCACTTTTTGCACCATTACACAAACTCAGTAACACACCAACTAGATTCCATTTTAATTTAATATACATTATCTCATGGTCCATTTATATGGAGAAAGTACTAGATTCTGGAATAATAATTTCTGCAGAGAACAGATGAAAGAGTTTCTGTTCATGAAGATCTAATATTATCATGAGAAAATGACTTAATCTACACTTTAGCTACATGTTAAGCACTCAGCTCTGTGCTATATACATACAATAAGTACTCAGAAAATGTTAGTCATGATTTCTATATCCTCATCATTAGCTTAAGGACTTCTGAAGTTCATTAACAGTAGCATTGACATTCTCTGCTTTTCATTCCAATTTCTTCAAATAGGCAAGAGACTTGTAACTGCTGCTCAGTTCCCATCAAAAACAAACACAAAACCTCTCTGTAGGTTATTCATTATTAATCATCCTTGTATTAAGTTCATACTTCATTTTCATATTTTGTAAATAACTGGTGGCTTGCCCATTTAGCATAAAAATATAGATCTTGTTCAGAAAGACGCTATCTCCAGACTTTCTTTTACTGTAATTGTGGACCTCAATCAATGACATTCTGGTTGTGTCAACTCCAGAGGTCCTCCTGTTGACAGTTCTCAGGCTGTGGGTTTGCAGTGTCCTCAACAACCATGTTCTTAGGGACATTCAAGTGTATGCTGATTAGCTACTTCCAGCCAGTAGAGGCTGGAAAGGAATATAAGCTCAACAAGATGCAGAAAGAAGTTCAGTGTCAGGGATTCTCCTTCACCTAGAACTGGAGTTTGAGCTATTGTGACCCAAATTTTAGTCCAAAATCAAAGTTTTCAGAGTTTAGTCTGCACAGAGGGGGTTATTTGAAGGACATTGTTGTATGTATTGAAGCATTAACCTCTCCCAGAGAGTGACTACTATTGAACATTACTAGTACAAGACTTCAAGTTCATCTTTGCTAACTAAATGCTGTGGCATTATCAAAAATGTTAGTGAAAATATTCTGTATGAGCTGACCTGACAAGGCTTAGCTCTTGAATTCCAGACTGATGCCTGGGAATCCAGCATGGGACTGATCAAGACCCCCTGAATGTGGGTGTCAGTGAGGAGGCCTAGGTAATCTATTGAGCCTTGGGTAGTAGATCAGTATTTTTCCTGGGTATACAAATGGACTTTGGGCTCCCATCCAACAATGAGAGATGCACAATCACCCTGGACTCTTGGCAGAGGGTCTAGGCCCTGCCCTGAATGAAATGATAGATTATGGACACCCCCATGGAAGGCTTCACCCTTCCTGGGGAAATGAGGGGATATTGGGGGGTTGGTGGGAGGGCGCGGGAGGCTGGGAGGGAAAGGGAGAGGGACCTGGAATTGACATGTGAAGCAACCCTGTTTCTAATTTAAATTTAAATTTAAAAATAAAAAATAAAATTATATATATATATAAAAGAAAATATTCTGTATGGATCAAAACAGATCTGTATAGATCTTTTTAATCATGAGACATTATTAACTCAGGCTATCATAAGAATAAATATGATACAAATATGAGCAAAGTCAAGAATATGAATACAGCAATGGTATGCTCATCCAAAGAGAAATAAGGCACACATCAACTAAGTCAAATTTCTGCAATGGAATGCTGTGCAATTAACTGAGGGGACTGTGTGAATCAAGAAAGTTTAGAATTGACAAGGACAATCTATTCTTGTCCAAACAAAACAATGTGCTATTAACAATGATTACTTTCTGGGAATAGATTATGTGTGATGATATTATGAGAGTGCATTTTTCTTTCATTTGATTGGGAATGTTTACAGTTTACAAAGTACACATATTCCTTTCCAAAATGATGTCTTAGCTCTGAAACAATAGAACTTGAATACTCTCCTTTATTTTATGATAACCACAACATATCTCGATGATGAGGGGTCCTTATTTCAAAACTTCCCTCCATTTTGTTTTCCCAGGTAGAATTGATATACCCTTTACTGTTAGACCATACAAACATACATGAAGAATGTGGCGCATATAAAACACAGTAGTCTGTTGAATGTAAGTGTGTGGTTTGTGAAGCCTCAGAAATATCTGTTGTGTGATATTTTGATTTCATTCTGAAAATAAGGCTTGCTTTGAGTCAGAGGCAGAGCTAGCCACTAGCCAACCAAAATTAACCATAGAGGTTTGAGGACTATGGACAGATAGGAGACAGAAAACAGTAAAGCAAGGCCAAGAGAATGTCAATCTTTTTGGAGAAAGGACCAGAAGAACCACAGAGGCACTGGTGGCTGCCCCCTTCCTGCTTCTCTGATCTTTCAGTTTCTTAGCCTGATATCTGACTCCCGATTTTTTTATTGGTAAAGAATAATTAGAGAAACACTTCAAATATCCATAGATATCTGTGGCAAAAATAATAGCAGGCAGCATGTAGACCAACCACTGTTTTTTAATTTATCTTTAAAATTAGCACATGCTATATTAAATAACACCATTCTTTTCTCCCCTTTCCCCCACTAATGTCTTAACCCCTTCTACCCCCCCTTGTAAGCCCTCACTTCAGTCTCCCTTCCACTGCCACTAATGAACTGCTTTTATCCTGTCACAGTTTATCTGTGCTTTAGACCACAGAGAACCCTGATTGAAGAAGGTGGCGCGAATGGAAGGTTCTGTGTCCCTTGAACAGCTTGTAATGTTGAGCCAAAGGCTCTGTATTTTCCTCTCCCAATTCTCTAGCCTCTCTCTCATGGAACTTTGGGGAGGGGAGTCTGTAGATATCATTATCCCACCACATGGGGTTCAAATAAGAAGGAAAGGGTAGCAGTGGATGGTCTTCATTCTCACTGATCATCATGCGTATCAGAGAAGGTCACTGATGCAGATGTCAGTAGAGTCTAAAACCACCAGCGCTGAATTGATTGTCTCGCATTTATTCACCTGCCCTGCTGTGTCCTTTCGTCTTGGTCATGTGATGTTTTCCCTCTAGGTTTCAATAGCATTTGTAATTTGGCTAAGTGAAAGCACTAAAACCAATTTACAGGTGAACTCTTGCCCTCATACTGCCTGACTAAGCTTACCAACAAGCTTGTATGGCTGAATGAATTTACTGAGTCGAAGTTTGTACTTTCAGTTCTGCAGAAATGGAATCACTTAATCCTTTTTTGCAATGACCCTAAAAGTGATTGTTAGGTACAAAAATGCAAAAAATAAATAAAACCTATTTTTAATAGATGAATCTTACCCTTACACTGTGTGATTCATCTGCTCTCCCAAAAAAACTCATGTAATCGAATGTAATTATTGAATCAAAGGTTGCATTTTTGATCCTGCTAAAACAGGATGGCTCAACCTTTGGGGTTAATAATCTTAAGAAGTGATAATTAGCAGTAGAAATATCAAGCTTGAAATGAAGGCTAAAAATATTTAAGATGAGGAAAAGTTTTGATGCATTTTATGTGGCTTGAGGGAAACAGCAGCTACTCCGATGGGTGGGTGGGTCACAAAAGCTGTGGGGAAAACATGAGGCTAGAGGAGTAGTAAGCTCAGACACCAGCATATTTAATTCCAGTGATAAGTGCAAACCAATCACTCCAAGGCATAGGAAAGCTTTGTCTACTCTTGTGGCCCTCATTTATTTAGTACTTATAGCCATACTAAGCAAAAGCAGGTACATGATAATTGCTTATAAATCAACAAAAAGCCCAAATTGAATCAACCTTTTTTTATTTCAAGTCAAGCTATTTGAGTCATCAGTATTGGATATACTCAAGTCCAATTCTGCACTCGGGGAGGGGACGGGATACAAATTGAACACCTATGAGACCAGTGGAGCCCTTTTGGTATGTTAGTCCTGGAAGGCTGCTCATTTAGCCCATAAATTCAGTGACCCCAAAAGTTTCAGCAAAATACAAAATATGTAGAAGATAGGTATTGATTGCACTGATTAAATGTACCTTTGTTATTATTTATTTTGAGAGTCTATGTGAGTATGCACATTTGTTTTCCTATAAGCAAATGTTTCAGTTGTACCAATAACCAATTCTCTCACTCCCATAAAGCAAAAACTAGAGACAAGGAGAAATGATAGCTGTCAAGATGCTTTGGAGACTCAAAGTGGGCAAATCTCTGGAGAGTTTTTCTTCTCACAGCCATGGACTAGAATGGCTCTAGAAGCCAACTGTGAGGTTCTTGCATCTGTGACTCTTCATAGCACATTGTAATTTCAAGAATCTAATAATCATGAAAGTTAGGTTAGCTATTCGTTTTACTCCCTTGCCTTGGATAGCCTTAAGGCAGGGAAATCTTTCTTGTTTTATTCCTTGTTCAAATGACAAGGATTGTCATAGATGAAGGACCGCTGACTTCCTGTTCAGGAGAGAATTCTATCTGACAGTGCGGCCCAAGCTATAGTTACATCCTTCAGTTCAGTTATGTCTCCATCCCCTGACACACATTCTCTAGGTCTTTGATTTTACTCTTTAATCTTCTTGTGCCATGTTTCACATATCAAATGCTGGTCTCAGGCCCAGCATTAATTTCTTATGAAGGCATTCTTACTATCTTAACTTTTTTGAGCTGTTCTCCTCCATATGGAATGACTTCCTTCCTTCACAGAAGGACCTATTATACATAAGTTCATCAGCTGCATTGAAGTTATTCCCACCCCATCATCTCTGAATATCTACTGAAATTCAGTTCCATGGGACCACAAATAAACAATGAGTATCTAAATTCCTACATGTCCCATTTAGGACAAGCGAGGCACCACCTTTGAAGGACATCACTTTCATCTCCTACATGGAATAACTGGACATTTTCAGCCTTTGGCATTTAGAGGTCAGCTTTGAGCCTGTCAGTGTAACTGTCTTCTATAATTGAGAACCCGTGGTGGTACAGTTATCTCTGTTGACCTTTGCAGAGCTTCTGAGAAACCACAGATCTGAAATTCATGTTGAAGGTTTCTTACCTGCATTAAACACGGGGAACCAGCGATAGAATGCGTTTTTGTAGGGAACAGTGTCAAATTCACTGCACTGCATCTGCCGGAAAGTTGGAGTTTCTGAGCGGCAGGGGTGGACGTTGCATAAGCGGTAGCGTTTTCTTTCTCCAGTGCAGTATTTCCCTCCAAACTTTGGTCTGCAGATGAAATAGACAAACTGTTCTTTAAGTTTCCCAAGAAGACAACAATTTCCTTTTTAAGTCCCTTGCTACCTGACCATGACTGTTCCTTGTCAAACCATGCCTGTTTCCGACCTAAAGAAACAGATAAAGCCTTCCAATTGTATACTTTTTGGGGTGTGTATGTTCCCACCAGCCTTTCAATCCTATGTTTTCCATTTTAAAAATATGTGTGTGTGTGTACATATCTGCTTCAATTAAATATATGCATTTTAGTGGTATAATATGTATTTTCAAGTGTAAAAACCCAGGAAAAATATATGAGCAAATTAGAAACATCATTTTCCTTTCAACATCTATTCCTTCCCTGACTCCTTTTTTAGCAATAACAATGACCAGATTGATGAATCATTCATACTTGGCCAATCTTGGACCTGGCTACCACTTGCTTGGATTTATTTATTCATGTGTTTTTGAGACAGGATCTCATTATGTACTTTTGGCTTGTCTGGAACTTGCTAGATAGACCAGACTGGTCTCTCTCTCTCTCAGAGATCTCTCTGCCTTCACCTCTGGAGTGCTAAGATTAAAGGCTTTTGCTGGGTATGGGTCACCTTTAATTCTAGTACTTGGAAGATAGATGCAGGCCAGGTGGATCTATGTGAGTTTGAGCCTGGTCTAGTCTAAATAAGTGAGTTCCAAGACAGCCAGGACTATTACACAGAGAAACCTGTCTTGAAAAAAAATAAACAAAACAAGCAACAATGACAAAAGACATTCACCACCACATTCATCCTATAGAGTTGTATTTTTATGTGTGTGTTTCTCTGCCTCAATTATTCAACTACCAACTACCAGCCCAGTCTGTTGCGCCATTCCTTCTTTCCTGCGCTCCCTTTGTCCCCTGGGAAAAAATTCAATGCATGGTGCATAATGTTGTATGTATACTATTAGATTATCTTACATATATTAGTTTCTTGTTCAAAGATGTTTAATGTCACTCATCAGCTGGAAACCAAGTCTCAGATCTTGAGATTGGCACTCTAGGATATCACGGTCCTGTCTTAACTGACTCTGTCAGTCTTACTTTGCATAATCTCTTTTATATAGTTCTCCTTATGTCCTAGTGTTTCTCTGTGCCTCTGTTGGACTTCCTTCCTCTTGAGTCTTCACACGTCTACATGCTGTCTATTCTTTGAGGACTAAATACACACTACCTCCATCATAGATCCTTCCTGCACTCCAAGTACAAGTGATCTGTCATTTTAAAGGACACTTCATGTTCTAACTGTACTTACTGGGCTTTTTCTGAAGATAGTCCTTTAATGACTCAGTTCAAGTACTAATTTTTCTATGGAGCCTATGTAGTGAGCACAGAAATGTCTTAAATATTCAATAAAGAAGTAAATCAATCTCATTTCTAGAACACATTTGCCACCTTCTATTCCCTTTGTGACCCATGTGAGGATATGAGACACTCTTAGTCTGCATCATGCATAAAGGGAGAAGGCAGTGTATCAGATTTGCTTTAAGAAAAACAGAGGGCAGCTATATATTCTTTGACAGCTGCCAAGCAACTTACCCCCCTTCTTACCTGTATTTTGATGTACCCCAGAGAGATGCTGTGACCATACTGTAGTGTAACATTATGGGACTAAAGATTTGAGCTTGAATCAACTCGACTTTCTAGTAGTCAGATGAATCTAAACAAGTTATCTTATTTATCTGAGCCTCAGTTGTTTTTTATTATGAAATTAACCAACCAGTCTTTATTTCAAAAAGATTTTAAAGGTTCGATGGGACAATGCATGTAGATATTTAATAGAGTAGTAGTTCGTACATGGTAAGAATACATGACATTATAGACTCTTTGAGATAGTATGAATACAAACCAACCAATGAAATACAATACTGCTCTTAACACCATGCTATGAGGATGACAGAATTAGTACAAAGTCAACCCAAGTCCTGTGCTTCCTTAAAATTTACAATTTTGTCAAAACATTAAAATAATTTTTGGATGTGAGCCAAACCTTTAATGACTGAGCCATCTCTCCAGGCCTTAATAATCCTATACAAGAAGTGAGAAATTTTAAGATAGCAGCTAGGTATACATGACCATGAGTATAACAAGACTTTGGATGAGAGAGAACACTCAGCATGAGTGAAGTTGACTAGAGAGAATTCTTGGAAGGGATAGACCTAGAGAAATCTCAGAGAAAAGATTAATTCATAAGCAGGAGAGATGCAAGTATATGTCGAAAGCAAGAAATGGGTTTCCCAGCTAAGATTGGCAAAGCCATGATTTGGATCGTGTGTTATGATCTGCAGCCTGAGGTTTTATCCAAGTGCAGTTCCAGCCGATTTGCAGTCCCGAGAGACAATCCCACAGGTCTAGTCATGTTCTTGTTCTCTTTGACATCCATGAGACTTACTTTACCATCTTCCCCATCTTTTCTAGTGCAACTTGAGCTTAAGGCAGCTCACATAGTAGGCTCTTCATTCACCTCTTTCTTGTAGAAGGTACTAAGAATTGTCCTTAACTTCTGAGGTCATACTAATCTCCATTCAATAACAGAGATTCTATGAGTTGGCACCTGTCCATCTTATTTCCATCTGACAAGCATTATGAAGAGCCTCGTAGGAGCCAAACTGTGCCAATATTTTACTATCCCTGTGGTTGGTCTCTCTTGATCAATGTTGAAGATAAGATTAGAAAAGTACCCAGGGAAAAATAATTTTTTAGACAATTGCATATTAATTGGGCTCAAAGGAAGCTGTAGTCTTTCATCATATATGAGTATTGCTGGCTCATACACTAATCTGACTCTGTGACTCACAGAAACCTTTATACAATTTGTTCCCATTGACAGAGGTCTCAATAAAATCAAAAAAGTGAGTTATGGCATCAGATGTCATCACTCACCCAAGGAGATTGAGAAATTGCAGCATTGGCGATGGGCACTAAGATTAAGCACCTCAGCTAGACCAGACCTTTTCTGAAGACCATACATTGCTGAGCATCTTCCCAAGTTTAGGGAGTGGTGGCTGGATACACACCACAAGTCTCAGAGAAAATTGCCTTTCCTTTTTGTAAATGCACACTTCTGTTCAAACTGGCAATTATTTTCTCTGAAAATAAAGTACTGTATAAGACACTCCTGCTGTTGAATTTTTGAAGAATAGAGTTTTATTGAGGGGGCAAAGCTTTAAAACAATTACATCATCATTCCTCAAGCAAATCCCTACATTGGTAAGGGATGACTCCTAAGTACCACTTATTTGCAGTTTCTTAATGTAATAGATAATATATTAAGCTACAGATATTAAAATCTAATCCTCAGGAAAACTTACTTTGTATATGGCAAATGGCATGCATGTATAATACATGTACATATACAGTTTATATATAGTACTGTTTATTAAGAAAAGAAGATTGACATTTGAAACTTAGACACTGAGAGGCCTTGTAATCACTTTCATCTCTTGCTTTTAGAAAATGTGACTCTTATTCTTCAAAGCAAAGGCATGTCTAGGAAAAAGAGTAATCCACTTCTAGAAAGTATCAAGTGCATTCTTAAAAAGGTATACTTAAAAACTTGTATATGAGGAAGCAGTGAAATATATTTAAAGGCAGGAAAATTTAAACTTAACTCACACACATATGTAACATTGTAGGTTTATTATATAAAATATTTTATTTAAAAATAGAAAATGAATTATGAAATCCTTTGTAGGCCATTATGGAACCCTAAGATTCATAAAAATATGTTGCTAGAATACTAGTGATAAGTAACTTCAGAACCATGCATGGCTATTTCACTTCTTACATGAGGAATGAATACTTTTAATTTTACTTTTACTGTGATTGAAATCTACCTATAATTGTATTAACAGAACTGAGTTTAACGAATCTACTTTTTGTTGATAGAGTGTCATTATCTAGAAGGATTTAATTGCATAAGCTCCCAGAGGCTTCCAGATAGACAGAATGCTTAAAAGAAATTAGCTTATACATTTAAAAGAAGTTTGCTTTGTTTCATTGAAATGATGGAATAAGGTTACTTGTCTGTTAAGACTCCAAAGCCAAGTTAAAGCATAGGGAAACAGAAGTGTTTTTATTCACTCCATGAATCATCTGGGTCTTTCTGTCCTTAGGGAATTGATCTAATTTCCCTCCGACACCTTGAAGAATATTTTCCTGCCATTTGAGAATAGTGTCCTAGCATTTACAGAAGGAAGGAAATCAAGTATTCATGCCAGGCCTTACTCGGGATTGTTGCAGAGCCTCTCTGCGCTCTGAGCTCCTGCCCCACAGGTCCTGGAGCAGTAGGACCAGGGTGACCAGCGTCCCCAGCCTCCAGGGATGCTCTCTGGTTTCTTCCCCACTGTGATACACTTCCCAGCCATACACCACTGCAAAGAGATGTGATGGAGAGACATGTTTCAGGAAGATTACATAGCAAGCAGGGCCAAAGACTTTCTAAGTCTAAAGCCAATTCTTTCCAAGTCAGAAAACTTCCTACAATAATACATCAAGGGCCACACAGAAAAGAGTTCACAGGGCTTCCTCAGATAAGTTTAGTTTCTAGTACCAGTTTTATACTGTATCTATAAACTTAGTGATGGATGGTGCCAAACTCAAGATTTATGAAGACACCCACTAAACTCATAAGCCATAGACCAACAATAAACCAACTCAATTAGTGGGCCACCATCCCCTCAGGCAGTCTGGAGGAGATCTAATGTCTGAGTTTTGGCTGTAATACTTTGTTGCTTAAGAAAGTAGGCAGAACTTTAAGACATCCAGTCATGCCAGACAGTAAGAAGGATGATTATAAATGACCCCAATCTGATGTTTAAGAAAAGAAAAAAGAAGACCTTCACCTATGCTTTCCAGCCTTCAATACTAAGGGAGAAACGTCAAAAATGAAAGTTGCTAGCAAACTCAGAAGAGACCAGAAACTCATCAGGGAAAGATAGGGCTAATGCTCTGCAGGTAAAGTATAAAACTGTGTGTGCTCAACCCGTTCTCACAGACCATTTGGTCCCAGCAAAGGGTGGGACCTTCTGTGTCTGGGCTGACTGTGTGAATGACATTGGGTGCTCCTCATGTCCTCTAGGGTCTTCTGTGTCTGGGCTGACTGTGTGAATGACATTGGGTACTCCTCATGTCCTCTAGGGCTAACTGTGTCTGGGCTGACTGTGTGAGTGACATTGGGTGCCCCTCATGTCCTCCAGGGACTTTTGTGTCTTGGATGACTGTGTGAATTACATTGGGTGCTCCTCATGGACTCCAGGGTCTTCTGTGTCTGGGCTGACTGTGTGAATGACATTGGGTGCCCCTCATGGCCTCCAGGGTCTTTGGTGTCTGGGCTGACTGTGTGAATGACATTGGGTGCCCCTCATGGCCTCCAGAGTCTTTTCCCACCTCTTTCCAAGAACTCCAGGTCAACTGCCCTCCCACCTTTCTTCCTCAGGCCAACACATATCACCTTCTTCTCACCACAGCGTGTCCCATCTGCAGCAGCATCCAACTTAGAGCGACAGAAGCCTCTGACAGAGCACCATAGTGTCTGGCAAACATTCTGGAAAATAAATGTGAGATTGCACTCTGTTATATTTTCAAATCCTGCATGGAAACATATCTGAAAAAGAAAACCTAGTAACCTAGAATATAAGAAGCTAACAGGCACCAAGAATTGACAAATAGGATTACATAAGTTAAAAAGTTTCTCTATGGGAAAAGAAGTTATGAACAAAGTGAAGGAGAAACATACAGAATGGAAGAAAATCTTTTCCAACTATACTTCACACAGGATGTTTATATCTATCTATCTATCTATTTATCTATCTATCTATCTCATATATGTAGGCATGCATGTATGTATGTATATATTCTAGGAGTTGGAATTGTATCCAATGGCTAGTGGTGACTCTAAGAACAGAATAGAAGAATGGTTAGATTTTTGCTTTCAAAACAATGGGAATAGCAATTTGAATAATAGACAGAGTTGGTAGTTACAATATCAAGAGAAGAGCAGCAGGATTGAGACAGCAGCATCTCAGGCACGACTGAGATGTTAATTATTTAATATTACAATGCCAAGAGTTGAGAATGACGGAGGAGAGGAGTGACTGGGATGAATCTAATTCCTACACTGTGATCTAAGGATATTCTTCAATCAAAGGGAAGTTTAGAAAAGGGGCAATTTTAAGGATTAGGTTGACAGTTGGTAGCTATGGAGCGCTTAAGTGTTAAATGCCGTGAACTCTGTAAATCATCATGGAATTGCTTTCAAGTTGCATAGGATTCCGTGTTCCACAGAACTCCAAGAAAGTTGTGTCTAAGAATGTCAGTGACTCTGATTACATGCTTCTGATTTGCATAAATATGAGTATGTTTAAGACAAAGTGTTCATCCCTGGGCCCAGTTTCTAAGCCTTTCCTGGTGCTTCCTTCAATATGCTGCAGACCTCAAACCCTGCATGGCCCCACCAGTGGCACCAAGAAACCCAGCACTTACTTCCACTTCCTGGCAAAATGTAGCATTTGGGCCATATTGGAGCTGGCACTGGTGGTGGACATCATAAATTACTCCAGGAGCAATGACATTGGACTTCAAACCTTTCTTTTTGGGAATATCATCAAGACAGAATCCCCTGCCTCGGCTGCAAACAAGTCAACAAAAACCAGAGTAGTTGTTTATGACTTTTCCTGGTCATCCAATAGATATCTTCATCACAATAATTTATTATTTGTACTGCCTGACAGCCTTACTCTTATGAGCAAGAGAACCCTGTGGGCCTTGGAAGAAAATTAATAAAAGGAAGTGTAAACCATAGCCAACAGAATATGCTTAGTTGTTATCTAGGAAATACACACTGTAGGTGTCCTAGTTAGGCTTCTACTGCTGTGATAACGACTATGACCAAAAGCAACTTGGGAAGAAAGGGTTTATTATATCCTCCTCCTCTTCTTTTCTTCTCCTCCTTTCCTCCTCCTTCTCCTTTGTCTTTTCCTTTTCCTTCTTCTCTTCCTCCTTCCTCTTTTGAAAATTTTTCTCTCATACATTCCACGCTGGCTTTGGTTCCCCTCCATGCACCCCCTCTATCCCCTCCCCCACCTTGCCCCTCCCCCAGATCCACTCCTCCTTTTCCCTCAAAGCAGAGCAGGACTGTGCTTGGGTCTGCACTAGGCCCTTTTGGTCTATGTTTTGGTTGTCTATCTTGGTGTTCTTGTGAGGCTTGTTGCTTCTTTTACTTTCAGGTACCTGTCAGTGAGGGAAGCAAAGGCAGGGGCCTGGAGGCAGGAACCGAAAGCGGAAGTCATGGAGGAGTGATGCTTGTTACTGGTTTGCTCCCTGTGGCTTGCTCAGCCTGCTTTCTTACACAGCTCAGGACCACCCGCCCACTCACATCAGTCAGCAATTGAAACAACGCACTACAGACTGCCTAAAGGCAATCTTATGGAAGCAGTTTTTCTTAACTGAGGTTTTTCTTCCCACATTACTATAGCTTATGTCAAGGTAACAAAAACAAACCAAACACAGGATAGTGGAGAAATAGGTGATCATGATCTTACTATTAGCATGGTTAACCGAATATTTCTGACCTCTCTCCAAGAACTTAATCCACAAATATCTCCCTCTCCCTCCCCCTTCCCCCTCTCTCTCACACACACATACACACACACATATATCAACCACCATGGAGAAGCAGGTGGTTCACTTGCCTGTGGATAGAGGGCTTAGTCAGAAAGCAGATGGGGCATCCACTCCTGTGGTCCACCATGATATTATGGACTGGAAAATGAATCCAAGTCTTTCCCAGGCACTCACTTCTCTATGGAAAACTCATTATAAACTCATTATAGCTTCTGACTTAGAGACCCGAGTGAAGCTGCCATGAAAGGAACTGCACTTACTCCAAGAAGCGAGTGATGTACTCTTTGCTGCATTTTGACCATGTCAGTGGGGTGGGATCATACTGAATTTGCTGGGACATGATGTATGGGTGCCTGCCCACAGGCTCACAGTCGTTTTCTTTTCCGTCATGCTGGATGCCAAAGCTGACACAAACACAAGAACAGAAAGCAGATGGGCATTTAGCAGGAGAAATTCACAGGTTCACCAAAGTGATTAAAACCCGCACGAAGCCACTTTGTTCCAAAGGAGCTGTTTATGAATTGAGACTTTGAAGTTGGAAGGACGTAGCTAATTTTGGACTCAAAAGTTCAGGGAAGAGTACAGACATGCTCTTAACCTCAGCTACTTAACCAATGGAGGGAGCCATGTGGAAAATTAAAAGCAAACCGCTGTTTGGCAGAAAGCCAGAAAGCCAAGAGCTCTCAGCCTGGCTCCCCATATTCTGAAGTCAGGAGGGCAAAGCATGACTCAGTATCATGCCTTCTCTGCTGAAACCACCCTAGTATAAACAAATCCACTCTTCCATTCCCCTTTCAGAATGGAAGAAGAGAAAGAGGAAAGCAGTCTCAGGGAGTCTTTGGCAGAGACAGGCATTGACAAATGGATTTCTTTATTCCATTCCAACAGATCTCCAATGCCCCACACAGTGGGGAGACCTCACAGTTCAGTGGTTGAGAGCAGAGGTTATGAAGATAAACAATCTGGACTGAATTTGAGCTCAGCAGTTTGATGACATTTGAGTTACTGCAACTTGACTCATTTTTTCTCTCTTCTAGGAAAAAAAGGTAGTCACCATTGTGCTAGGAAGAGATCTGAATGAAGAATGACTTGAAAACCACTTAGCAAGGCCTGGTATATAACAAGAGGTTCACAAGTAACAGAAATTTAACCTTTAAAAGTAACTTCCCTGGGTCTGGGAAGATGACTCACTAAATCAAACTCAGTAAGCTCCAGAATGAAGACATGAGTCCTAGGCCCTAGAATCCATGTAAAAAGCTGGCATCTACAATTCAAGTGCTGGAAAGGATTGCTGGTGCTTGCTGGCCAACCAGCCTAGCTGGCTTCAGTTCAAGATCCTATCTCAAAAACAAAATGGAGAACAAATGAGGAAGGTGTAGTCAACCCATGTTGACCTCTGGGCTTCATGTACATACCATACATGTACACACATATACATATATGCATTTGCACACATGTACACACATATATGTGCACAGAACAAATAATAATTTTCCAGCTTAGTTTCCTTCTTTCAGAGAATAACTACACAAATCAAAAGACATACATCTTGTTGGAGGCAAATGTGGTCTTCAATAGAGTTCTTGGTGTTTTGAAGTCATTTGTTTGTCTGCCCCCTGGTCTTCCACTGTTATGACAGACCAAGACAGTAGCTCTGAAGAACCATAATAATTAACTGCCTGCCATCCCAGAGGGTGCATAGGAAATGACTGACCCAGAGTTGTCTACTTATAAGCACTGTCCTCAGGATTCTCCCACGATACCTCAGGTTCATACGAATGTCTTTTCCCAAGGAGGTCTGTGGATGCGGCATTTAGGGCCTAGAGCTAGATGTTGGCTTAGTTTTCCAGATCTGAATACAGAAAAGTATGACTTTTTCCTTTGTCCATCCCTCTGACTAAGAAACTCACATTTCATTTTAATGGAATTTGATCAGCGTTAGCTGCTCTTGTGCACAACAGACTTTGGGATTTAGAGGGCTTCCTGTGTTTTACATATTACAGTATTAGCAACTTACTTGCAAACTTTAATCACATTGCATGAATATAAAACTCACAAAGGAACCACAGAATTAGTCTGCAAAGCTTTCAGTACCTATACAAAGAAAGTTATAGAAGAGAAGCCTCCTGTACAGGCTTCCTCAGGCTGCTGCTCCTTAGTCCCATCCATCATGAAGTGCTTGCTGTACAATGTCATGTATTCAATAGCTAGAAAAAGTCCTATAGTGTGAGCAAGTCTCAAAAGAAATTCACAAAGCAGATGTTTTTGAGACTGGATCTTATGAAGCTCAAGTTGGCCTCTAACTTGCTGTGTAGCTGAGGATGACCTTGAACTTGTGATCCATGTACCTCTACAACCCAGGTGCTAGAATTTCAGGTGTGTGTCACCATACTTGGTTCACTAAGTACTAGGGTCAAACTCTGGGCTTCACACATGCTAATCAAGCATTCTACCAACTGAGTCACACCCTAGTCCCAAATGTTGACCTTTTTAGTAGAGGGTGCCTGAGGTTAGCTTTTCCATATTTTCGTAGTCCTGAGGACTTGCACTCGTAGGAAAGCACCACTGAACTACACCTTAAACCTTTTGTCTTTTGAAATGGAATCTTGCTATTGAAGCCCAGTCTAACTGGAATGCATGATGCACTCGTTTCTTTTCCCTTGAGGTAAGCGGCAAGCTGGTGGAGTCGTCGAATGGGAGCAGTAAGTCAGTAACAGTGAGGGATGAGAACACAGGGGCCGTGGTGATAGAGGGTTTATCTCCAAGAAGCTGTCTTCTATCCCTGGGAGTAGAATCCAAACAGTAGTTTGGAGTAGGCACCCTGTACTTCTGGAACAATCTCTGGGGTTGCTAGGCTAGCCTATTTTCTGGGTCTTTGTTGTTTCAATTCCTTTAAACTGGGTTTACTAAATTAGAGGCTGAAGTAGCAGCTTAAGTACCTTAAGTACCTTGGTCTCAGTAGTATCCTGTGGGTGTATCTACTCTTTACTTCGTATTGTTTTTCATTTTATAGTGCAATGGAACTTTCAGAGAACAAGAGTCACAAAAGTGGGAATATGAACTTATCCAAGTCTTTCAGAAAATGTCAGGTTTGAGCATACAGGGAGAAAAGCTCTATAAATGAAGTAAAGCACACTCTGGAAGCTAATCATATTGAGCCAATATATATATATATATAAAATAGCCAAGGTGTTTTTATTACTGAGAGCAAAATAGTTTTATGTATTATAATTTAAATATGCACATCCAAGTTTCAAATCTTGCACCTACATATGAGAGAACATTCCACATTTCCCTGTGTGTCTGAGTTGCCTCACTCTGAGTATTACTAGCCCCATCTATTTAACTCTAAATTTCATTTTTCTCTGAAGCTGAGTATTCTGTTGTGTACAGGTATATTTTCACTATCTGTCCAGTAGTTCTTTGACATTTATGCTGAGTACCCCTAGAGTTAGGGAACTAGTAACCAGTCGTGGGGGATTTCAAGACTAGGTGACTAGAATGCAGGTGTAATGGAGGCAGAATTAAGAATGAAGGAACAGGAAAGGCTAAATGGTATGGGGTGGTGATGGCAAGGTGAAAGAGGGATTATGAGGAGGGATAACTGACACCAAAATCCTTTGAAACTTCTATGTGGGAATATATTACTGTAGGAGCTTCCTAAAATATGTACATATATAAAAGGAAATTAAATGGAATTATTCTTCAACAGAGGAACAATGCTTCTCCCGGACACTATGACTCTTGACAAGTCATTGGTCAGTGGGGTCTCTTACATCTCCCAAATTATGTCATTACTACTGTTCTTGAATACCCTCCAACACTGTATCATAGGACCCTACTGATGAAGACACCACATGCTGAAACCATAGGACATAAAGAGGTGAAGATGGTCCTAACCTGGAAGATTTATTCCTACTGTAAGTAGTGCCAGAAGGTTCTACTTACATTATCAGGGTAATGAAGTATTGAGCAATTTTACCTAGCTGTGAGCCCTGAAAACCACAATAGCAAGATACATCTACTGGTACAAATGTAGCATGAATGCTACAGGCATATCCAACCTTCTTTCTTATTGGATTTAAAGCCCACTCTATGTGACAGAACTTACGTCTAGTGCTTTCAACTGGGCCAACATCCCACGGCTCGCTAGACTTATAGGTCCCAGGAGAGAACCTAATATTATTATTAGGTTCTGGTATTAGCTGCACCTAAGTTCTTATCTCTATGTCCATAAATTAATGAGTCTTTCAGCTCTCATCAAGGAATCTTCCTTTTGCAATAGATGGAATGGCAATTAATACACAAATCCACAATGGGTCAATGTACAGAGAATAAAAGACTATGGGGTCCTCAGCTCAAAATGGAACATCTATATCACATCCTCTCCCTCTGAACGCTAAGAGGCCACTGCAGAAGAGGGAATGGAAAGATTAGAAGAATTGGAAGTAGTGGATGTCTGCAGTGAAACATTTGTTGGACATGACAGGGTTGTTTTACACATGAACTCTCGAAAATTGTGACTGCATGCACAAGATCTATGCCACACCAAGCCAGCAAAAATCTTTGCATATAATCAGGGAAATCATGGAATGGGGGTCATGAAGTCACACATGTATCTGAAAAGCTGCTGGCAATAGATGGTGAAATGTCCATTGTGTTTTGCCCATTTTCTTCTCCTTCTTTTATAAGCAGTACATGTAATTTTACTGAATCGTTACAACTATCAAACTGTCTAGACAACTTGCTTTGACTCAGTGAATGAGTGACTTTGGGGCAGGCAGATTGTTACTTTTGTTATTTTATTTTTCTTGGATTTTGAAATAGATTTCCATACGGTGTTTTTTTTCCTGCTGGGTTTCCGTTGCTCCACCCTCTCCGCTGTCCCTGTCTCCTCGTCATCCACATCCTGCAGCTCTGCACCCTCAAACATTCCCTCCTTCCTAGTACCGTTTCACTTCCATATCAGATTGTTTAATGCTTGGGTTTTTAAAGCTTTTAAAATCTATTCTAGATTCTAGTCCTTTATTCAGGACATGGTGTATTATGGTACTGGGGATTCCAAAAACTTGATAATTTAAAATGAGAGAAATCTATTCTCTCCCAATTCTGAAGGCCATAACTACAGAACTAAAGTGATTATATGATGGGATTAAACTTTCAGTCTCCGTGTCCATCTGTTCTGGCAGGCAGGAATATGACTGATTTCAAATGTTTGTGCTATATATCACCATTTCAATGAACTCATATATCTTCATTTTTATATGTGTGTGGATTCTCTGGGGCTTCCTATGAATAAAACAATCCTACATTCAAATAGGATGGTTTATTTCTTCCTTTCAAACATATGTCCTCTTTATTTTTCTTACCTTCTCACATTCACTGAGAATTTACTATAATCTTC